TGAAATGTTTCAGAAAGTTGAAGCACTGGAAGCCAGGAAGTTTCGGAGACAGCTACCTGGCTACCTGGCTGGACCTGTGCCCATTCCAAAGAAAGGTGACTGAAGAGAACGCACACGCTACAGAATGATATAATTGACATCACACACAAGTAAACGTTTGCTTAAGATCGTCCAACAACGGTCAGAGCAGCACATTGACAGGGAACTGCCGGGTCAGGCCAGATTCAGATGAGGACATGGGAAAAGGGACATCCTTGCTGATGTCAGATGGGATCTTGGCTCAAAGTAAGAATACTAGAAAGATGGTTACTTGTGTTTCATTGACTATGCAAAGGTATTCGAATGTGTCGACCATAATAAATTGTGGATAACCTTGAGAAAAATAGGAATTCTGGTACACTTCATTGTGCTCATTTGGAGCGTCTCTATGGATCAAGAGGCAGTTGTGAGACAGAACAAGGAAAGACTGTATCGTTTACAATCCAGAAAGATGTGCATCGGGGTTGTATCCTCTCACCACACTTGTTCAATCTGTATGTTGAACAAACCATCAGAGAAGCTGGATTATATGAAGAAGAGTGTGGCATCAGGATTAGAGGAAGACTTAGTAACAGCCTGCTGTATGCAGATGACACAACATTGCGTGCTGTAATTGAGGACTTAAAGCACTTGCTGAAGATCAAGGATTGTAGCTTTCAGTATGGATTACATCTCAATACAGGGAAGACCCAAATCCTCACAACTGGACAACAGGTAACATCATGAGAAATGGAGAAAAGGTTGAAGTTGTCAAGGATTTTCTCTTACTTGGATCCACAATCAATGCTCATGAACACAGCAGTGAAAGATCAAAAGATTACTGTATTAGTTAAATCTACTGCCCAAGACCTCTTTAGAGTACGGAAGAGCAAGGATGTTACTTTGAGGACTAAGGTGCATCTGACCCAAGACATGGTATTCTCCACTGCATCATATGCATGTGAAAGTTGGATGATGGGTAAGGAAGACCTTAGAAGAACTGATGCATTTGAATTGTGGTGCCAGAGGAAGTACAAAGGACTTCCGCTAAAAGGACCAACTGATTTGTATTGGAAGAAGGGCAAGTGTTCAGCAGAGGCAAGGACAGAAAGACCTAGTCTTACACACTTTGGACATGTGGTCAGGAGAGACCAGTCCCTGGGGAAGGACACCATGTTTGGTAAAGAGGAGGGGCAGTGAACAAGAGGAAGGTCCTCGACGAGATGGATCAGGCATAGGGGCAGTTGTGAGGGCGGTGCAGGATCAGGCAGTGTGTCCTTCTGTTGTGCACAGAGTCTCTCGGTTTGGAGCCAACTCGGTGGCCCTCACAACACCATCTACTTGACCACGCATGGCGTCCTTCTCCAAAGATTGGTCTCTCCTGACCACATGTCCAAAGTGTGCGATTGAGACTAGTCTTGTCAACCCGGCCTGTAAGGAGCACTCGGGCTATGCTTCCTCCAACATAGATCTTTGGTTTCGTGGCCGTCCGTGGTACTTTCAGTATACTTTGCCAACACCATGAAAATGTATAGGAAAGGGTGGCAGAGGTGTAAACATCATCTATGCCCGTGTACCAGAGTGAACTGCTGCCGGGGCCTGAGCTACCCTCACAAGGGTCATGTTTGGACCTATTGCTGTACCAGTTGTGTCAACCCAGTTCCTGGAGGGTCCTCCTTTCTTTTGCTGCCCTTCTACTTGACCAAGCATGCTGCCTTTCCCAGGGACTGGCCTTTTCTAATGACATGTCCAAAGTACAAGAGATGACATTTCACGTATCTTTGCTTTTAAGGAACATTCTAGCTTATGTCTTCCAAGACAGATTTGTTCATGTGTTCGCTATGATGCCCCGGGGTGAGCGCACTAAAATCAGAGCTGCAGATTATGTGAAACAAAACCTGATAGATCTGAATGGTGAAACAACTTCATCGTTACAGTTGAATCCTTCAATGTCCCTCTCTCCAAAATCGATCCATTCAATGGTTTCTGTTGAGTATTCACTTGATTAGGCCACAATACTTGGCAGTTATTATGTAACCATCTATCATTTTGAAATCTGATGTGAGCTGTCAATCAGTTAAAAGGGATTTTCCTTATGGGTGTGGCCCGCATCCAATACATGTGACTGTTCTGGCAAAGCTCGCTCTTGCTCAGTCCTCATCCTTCGACCTCTGGCTCTTGAGACTTGAGTCAGCAGCCTGCCTCCTGACCTACAGCTCTTAGAACTCGTCAGCTTCTGCCACACGGAGTCAGCAGCTTTCCATGAACCTGCTGGTTTTCCCCTGGCCTGTCCCTGCAACTTCATCAGTCTGAGGCCCCCAGCCCGATGTTTGACCCAGATCTGGGACTTGCCAGTCGCCACAACTGTGAGGTCCATTCCCTTGAGAGCAATCTCCTTATACAGTTCATCTATCACAAACATACAAACAAGTCTGTCTTAAAAGAGCAGTCAGAAGGCTCCTTGGAATCGAGGCTGGCAAGACTGTGTCTCATATATTTTGGACATACTCTCGGGAAAGACCAAGCCTTGGAAAAGGACATCATGCTTGGTAGACAGTCAATGAAAAATAAGGAAACCTCCCAGGAGACGGACTGACACAGTCCTGAGACAACGGGCTCCAACATAACCACTGTGGAGAGCCCCAAGATAATTAAGGGAGTTGAATTGGTAGCTTACAAATCCTCCCAGAACAAATTCCCAAGCCCACAAGTTTCCATTGGAGAAACCTACCAATTGTTTGAAGAAAGAACACCACTCTACAGAATCTTTCCCAGAAAACATGAGGCAGGGACACATTCCAATTCCTTTTATAAAGCTAATAATGAGACCAAAGACACATGGGCAGTATGAATGCATTGTTTTGCTTTGGGTAATGTGAATATAGGTTTATCCATATGTTAATCATTTATTGAGCCAATTACAGACTTAGAATTTTTGAACTTTATTTTCCTGTAAGTGAAATATCTCATAAATATAAAAAGAGAAGCATTTCATTAGTTTCAGATTATCTTTTTGTCCCTAACATCATATGAAAAAACCCAGCTCAAAGACCTTTTTCCATCTTCTTTGAATCAACACTTGCTGTTAGATGATGCTCACAATTCACTTTTCCTAAAATATTGATTTAAAAAGTTTCCTTTAAGGCTAAACAGAATCTCTGGGTTTAAAAGGTTTGTTTTTTTTAAAGTTATCTTATTGGGGGCTCGATCAATTCTTATCACAATCCATACATATATCCATTGTGTCAAGCACATATGTACATTTGTTGCCCTTAGCATTCTCAAAACATTTGCCTTCCACTTTAGCCCTTAATATCAGCTGCTCATTTCCCCCCTCCCTCATGAATCCTTCATAATTCATAAATCATTATTGTTTTGTCATAAGTTACACTGTCCGACATCTCTCCCCGCCCTCTTCTCTGCTGTCCATCCCCCAGGGAGGAGGCTACACATAGATTCTTGTAATCGGTTCCTCCCTTCTATCCCACATTCCCTCCACCCTCCAGGCATTGCCACTATCACCACTGATCCTGAAGGAGTCGTCTGTCCTGGATTCCCTGTGTTTCCCGTTGCTATCTGTACCAATGTACATCCTCTGGTCTAGCCAGACTTGTAAGGTAGAATTGGGATCATGATAGTGGGGGGGAGGAAGCATTCAAGAACTAGAGGAAAGTTATATGTTTCATCGTTGCTACCCTGCACCCTGATTGGTTCATCTCTTCCCCACAACCCTTCAGTAAGGGGGTGTCCAGTTGCCAACCGATGGGCTTTGAGTCTCCACTCTGCTCTCACCCACCTTTACAATGATATGACTTTTTTGTTCTTTGATGCTTGATAGCTGATCCCTTCAACAGCTCATGGTCACACAGGCTGTTGTGCTTCTTCCATGTGGGCTTTGTTGCTTCTGAGCTAGATGGCCGCTGGTATATCTTCAAGCCTTTAAGACCCCAGAAAGTTTTTAAGTAGTAACATGCAGGATATAAAACACTATTTTATATTTTCTGTGTTACTACTTATAAACCTTTCAAACAGAGAGAGAGGAACCTAGATAGTACGCATTATAGAACAAAGATCAAAATGGCCTTCTCCCTGGAAATGTTTTTTTCAGGCACAATCCCCTCATGCACCAGTTGTCTACACACCTCCTGGTTTTTATGCTGCTGACAGGGGTGGAGTTGGGTTCTGCCAGGTGGCACACTCCGAGGCCTGCTGCCGGGCTGCTGCGGTGCATTAGAACCCAGTACTGGATTTTGCACTCCATCCTGAGCCCAAAGAGCCACCAATGCCCCTGGGCCCCGTGAAACGAGGCCCAACAACAAGGCAGGTGAAAGGCAGCCTTTCTGATCAGCTCTACGTTTGAGATTATGGGAAGACAATGGAAAGCTAAACCTTTACTGTATGCCGAGCAAGAACACTCCCCAGCTCTGAAGGAAAGCACACGGGAGGGCAGGGAGGGGTGCTTTTGCGGCCCAGCCTCAGTTTTCTGCTGTAAGACGGGCCGGGCCAGTGGCGTCAGAGCTGGTGGCGGGAATCCCCCTGGGTTGGGGGTGGCTGCTGCGGCGTCTCGTCTCGTCAGAAACCCTGGGCACGAGTCCAGGAGGACCCCTCCTCGAAGGCTCTCTGGGGTGTTGGTTTTGCTTTCCAGCACCAGGAGAAGCAGGGCTCCCGTGTTGTGTTCACAGGCGACCCCATCACGATGCATCCTTCCTGCGAACTTCTGAGGGCTGGGGGCACTCTTTGATCATCTCACTGGGATGAGGTCCTGCTCTCAATGGTCGCGGAGTTTGGGTCACAGCTGGGGGTCTTACCCATGTCGGTTTCCGTTCACCGGATTTGTCATCTGGGGTCTTCCATAAGCAGGGCCCATGGTCCCCACCGCTGCACTGAGAGAGACCCCCCCACCCCCCATCAGACTTTCCCACCACGGCCTGACTCTTCCATTCGGTCGTTACCGATCGAAAGAAAAGGCCTAAGACCAAAACTCAGGCAAATGTGTTTAATTTTTTAAAATAACTGATGGCAAAATAAAATATTTACATCACATCACACTGTGTAAACATGTCAAGTCTCTGTACAAAGAAATATACATGCAAAAATCATGTAGAAAACGGAACTGAAATCATGAAGGAAAATGATAAATCCACAAATAAAAGTTATGAGGTTATATATGGAGCCATATCCAGTTTTGAATCCAATTTCCTTTAAAAAAGTTTCTGTACAATTTTACAAGAGGAAACAAATGAACAAAAACAAAATCAAGCAACCAAAGAATAAATAAAAATACACTGGCAGCTGCAAAGCTTTAAACTACATCCGTTTATGGCTCAAGACCCAGGCCTCCGGCAGGCCTGGGGAGCAGGCTGGCTGGCCTTTTGCTAAAAAGACGTCCAGGAAATCGCAGGCCTGCCCAGACACCAGCTGCCTTGGCTTAGGGCGCCCCCCTGGCCAGTGTGAGTTCTGTCACAGTGACCCGGGACTCCAGCAGGCCACAGCTTCTGCTGGTCGGCTTCAAGTGACTCACAAATCAGCTCACAATTGAGCCAATGTTTGTACGGAAAGTTGAAACATCATCAGACATCAGAAAAGTCTTAAGAAGTTGTAAAGGTCCAGACTGATTTAGGGTAAAGGGTGGAGATGGGGCAAGGGGGCAACTAATACTTTGGCATTCTGAATAATAGCATAATCAATTTGAATCTATTACCCTATTATCCAGTTTTATTTTCAGGGTATGAAATCACGCCTTTCCTCTTTTTTTTTTTTAAAAAAAACAAACAAACCTCAAAACGGACAAATTTCACAAAGAGTTAAATCAGTGGGATCCCATAGCCCTCTCGGGCTACAACCCACCCTCCCCCAGCCCGTCCCTGCAACACGCCCCAAACCATAAAGCTCACTGAACGAAGCATGTGCTTTTTCTATGCATTTATTACAGGTACAACAGAGGTCTTCATAAATAGTTGCATAAAATGTTAAAGCCAAAACATTGCACATGATATGAAATCAAACACACAGAAACCCCAGTGAGTGCATGTACAGTATTTCCATTGACTGTATACTGTGCAACCATCTGATTGACCGGGTGGGATGGGCAGGGGGGACCAGCCATATGTCCTCTCATGGCAGGCAGTGCCCTCTGTCCCCACCCACCCCCCTCTCTGGGAGGGTACGGCCAGGAGGTGGGTGGGTGCCAGAGGGGCAGCGGGGAAGGGCAGACGGAAGGCAGGTACAGTCTTATGTACAAGTAAGGCCTACATTTCATCAGAGCAAAACGATTGGTTCTAGTTTTATGCAGCAGTCTTGAGGTCACCCGCATGTTTGGCGTCCGGGGTGACACCCGGCAGACCAGGCGGCCACGCAAGCTTAGAGCCAGGTGGGCACCGGGCTCAAGCTGGGGCCGCAGGCATGGTCGCCTGGTGGGCACATCCTCCTGGGGGCGCGCGGTATCTTTGATTGGTTCGTGAACGCCCCGTGGTCCATACCACGCAGGCGCTTTTTCTCGAGTGAATCTGGAAAAGGTGGGATTGGCAAAATTCTATTCCTGTTTGTTTAAAAAAAGTTCTCTGTTGCAGTTTTTTTTCTTTTCCTTTTCTTCTTCAGAAACCTGAATGAAATACTGTGGGTAGGGCAGCGGCCCTCCGTAACCGCTGAGGGTGGCGGGGCCGGGGGGTCCACCCAGCGCAGCGTCAGCGCTGAGTCCCAAGAGCTCTCGGGCGGCAGCGTGACAGGATGAACACACCGGCAGTGGGCTGCGTTTGTGGGCTTGTTTCGTTTTGTTTCGCTTTTGCGTTTCCTCTCCAGCATCCGAATTCACAGCTGATCGGCAGGTGAAAGAGAATGAGAAAGGAGCTTCCGGACAGGTCAAACTCTAGGCAGGAGCCTGCTCTGCAGGAAGTTTTTGATGCTACGGATCGGTCCAGCGTCGTTCTGGTGTTTGCGCCGCTCGATGAAGGAGGTCAGTCGGGACGTGTCCAGCGTGTCCGCGCTCTTGCCGAGGCCCGCCTGCAGCCAGGGCTCCTGCAGGGCCAGGGCCGCCGAGGGCCTTGCGGTTGGGTCCTGCTGCAGGAGGAAACACACGAACTCCTTGGCCTTCGGGCTCACCCCTGTGAAGTAGTCGTCCGGGAAGCTAAAGTCCAGGCGGCAAATGTTCAGGCAGGTCTCTTCCACGCTGTCGTCCAGGAAGGGGGAAACGCCGCTGAGAAGCACGTAGGCCAGCACTCCAACACTCCACGTGTCTGTGGTCAGGGAGACGGGGTTGCCCAGGATGATCTCGGGGGCCGCGAACTCGGGGTTCCCCAGGAGCGGGTGGATGTAGTAGGTCGTGTTGAGTTGGACGGCATCTCCAAAGTCGGCCAGCTTGATGGTTGGCTTGGCCGAGCGCTGATCCACCAGGATGTTTTCGGGCTGGAAAGCAGGAGCAGTGGATGGTCATTTTAGGACCCTCTACTCCCGAATCGTACGCTTAAGGTGGACCTGCGAGGTCAGCTGGATCAGACAGTTCATGTGCGAAATGGGTGCCCAGAGGGCTCAGGCACTGAGGGCTGACAGCGGTGCCATAATTAAGGTCTGGAAGCAGCTGGCTCCAGACGCAGCCAAGCTGGGCTGCATCTCAGGAGATATTCAGAGACCTAGCAGTTTATTTCTTGCATATAGGCCTATAATATTAAAAACAAAACATAAAGCCCCAAACCCAAGCTCCTGGTCATCAATCGAATTGATTCTGACTCATAGCAACCCTGTAGGACAGGGTAGAACTGCCCCTGTGGGTTTCCCGTGCTGGACGTCTTTATGGGAGTAAAAGCCTCCTTGTTTTCCCTTGAAGGGGTTGATAGTTTCAAACCGCTGTACTTATGGTCAGCAGCCTAAGACATGGAAACTCCTGAGATACAGAACTCGGTTTCTGTTTATATCCTATGGCCTTCCGTGAAAATCCACTACCATCAAGTTAATCTCCAGAGTGACCCTACAGGGCCGGGGAGATAAGAGCTGGCCCTGTGGGTTTCTTAAGGTTGTCCGTCTTTATGGGAGTAGACAGCCTCACTTTCCTCACTTGAAGTGGCTGGTGGTTTTGAACTGCTGATCTTGGGGTTAGGAGCACAATGCTAACTCACAATGCCCTCAGGGCTCCCTTCTGCCTTATTGGGGTGGGTGGGGGGATTTAAGTAGTTCGTGAAGAAATTCCAATATCCTTTCATTTCATTTTCCCCTGAAATTTTTGAAGGCCCTGTGTATTTTCCCCCAGCCCCCAGGGATCCCACCTCTCTGTGGCTGGTCAGCCACATGGTACAGGTGGGCAGCACTGCTGCCCCTGGCCCCCCATCCTTGATACCCCCACCAACCTTTAGGTCCAGGTGTGCGATCCTGCAGTTGTGAAGGTATCGGACGGCTTCCAGCACCTCCCCCAGGTACATCCTGATCTTCCCCTCGGTCAGGTTTCCCCACCGCACCACGCAGTCCAGGAGGCGGCCCTGGTCAGCCCTGCGGAGAGAGGCATGGTGACAGTGGTGAGGGCTGCTCCTTGCTCCCACTGCCAGTGCCTGACTTGTGCCTCAGGGCTCTCCCTCCACTGGACAGCATGACTGGATGAGTCTCCGACCCACCCCATGGCCACTCAGTCGATCCCGACCAGAGTAGCCACACATAAACACCTGTTCACATGTACACACCCGCTCCCAGAGGTGCTGTTACATTGCGTGGGGGTGGTTAGTGTGCCCGGGCGGAAAGGTACATTCTTAGCGAGAGACTGAACAGAAACCAGTGGGTTCAAAGTCATAGACCTGGTGGTCTGCTTCCCAAACCAAAACCAGATCCATGTATCTACGGCAACACATACAGCGGACAGTCAAAACCAGACAGAACAAGATGGCCACAGGCGCCATCAGGCCCAAGCCTCGCTCAACCACACTCGCTGCCTTCTGCCTGTGGACAGCAGTGCGGAGCAGACCAGGACTGGTCTTGGGGAAGCGGGTGACAAGGGCGTTCTGACACCCTGGTGGAACTGTGGGTTCTGGGAGGACTGACAGCTGTCACCAGGAGGCAGACTCCAGGAGGCAGCCAGGCTTCTAGCAGGCAGGAAGCCCCAGGACTCATTCTAGTTCAGTAACCCCCCTCAAGGGGAGGCTGCAAAGTGAGCCCCTGAATCCCCGGTCAGCAGCGAGCAGGAGGTCTGCCCAAACCCTGGCCCAGCCACTTCCAGAAGATGCCCTGGGGGAGGCCCCTCTGCCTGCTAGCATGTTTATTCTGGAGGAGCGGGCACACCCATGATGTCCCAGGCAGGGGTTGAAGTTCACACTCCAGCTTGCACCCAGCACTGGGGTAGTGGGGCTGGGGGAGCCGACTGGGCCGGGGGCACCACCCAGTGGTAGCGGTAGATGCAAACAGTTCGCAGAGCCCAGACTAGTGGGAGCAGTCGTGGACATTGACCAGACAGCTCAGTGCCCTGGGCCCCGAGGGAACCGGCCAGGCCACAGGTTGTCTGAGCTCCAGCGAGCAGCCTGTGGGGCCGGGGTTGCTTGCACAGGCAGGACCCCCCGGAAGGACAACACAGCCTGAAGGTGCTTCTCCTTCCTGCCACCCTATGCGGAGAGGATGCATGCGTTCGAGAAGCTGGGAGAATCCTCAAGTCACAGCTTCCTCCATCCAGCCTTACACAGGGGCTCCATCCCCCAGCCCCGACCCTGAGTGCAGGAAACGGCCCCAGGGGTAGAGGGAGGTTCAGGAGGGCCGGGGCCGGGTGGGTACGCACATCTCCAGAACCAGGACGTAACTGGTGGGGGTCTCGAAGGTGTCCAGCAGGCCGACGAGGAGGGGGTGCTGGAGGTGCTGCAGGATCCCGAGCTCGTGGGTGACCTGGTCGCGCTTCATCAGCCTCTTGTTCACAAACTTGGTGGCCACCGCTCGCCGGGTTCCTTTCTGATCACATTTCTTCACGACGGAGAACCTGCCCCTGGGAAGGGCGTGGGGGAGATAGTCACTCGGGGTGCTGAGGTGTCTGGGAGACAGTGAGGGGCGCTCTGCTGGACCATGGCTGCCCTGCCCAGAGTCCTGCCCAGGCCTGGAACCACAGGGGCCCACGTCCCTCAGTCTGAGCTCTGTCACACCTGCATCTGCCTGTAGAACTCACTTCCTCTCCCAGGGGAGCGGGGCCATGCGACTGCCTGTGACCACCGAACGGGACAGAAGTGACACCGTGAGATTCCAGTGCAGGTCTCAGGAGGCTGCTTCTCCCGCTGCTCATCAGCTGGAAGCCCTGCTCAGTCCACTTTGGGGCAGGAGTGTGGAAGGCAACCACCACCAGGCCAGCTGGCGTTGGGTGCCTGGGAGGTGCATGTGTGTGTATGTGTGCTGCGTGTAGACAAGCACGGCTGACTCGGGCCTCTCGAGACTGGAGGGGGATAAGCCTGTGTTGCACATGGGAGGACTGGGGAGCAGATCTCACCAGGGCTTACTCCCCGCATGCATCCAGAGGGGGTGCCCCAGTCTTCCCCGTGGGTCTGGGTCTGACCCACAGCACATGGAGGATGTGCAGGACCGTGGAGGAAGCCCAAGGTCTTTAGAGGCTTCACAGCTTCTGCTCCCCCTCTTGATCGGTGTCCACCACTGTGCGGGGACGCTCAGGATGAAGGGTGACATGGAGCGAGGCCTGGGGGGGCCCACAGACCCACCCATGGCAGGTGAGCAGCGACACACCATCCACCACTGTTGTCTGAAGGCTGCAGGTGGCCCGTGCTAGGATACAGGTGACAGATGTGGCGGGACTGAGTGCAGGCTGCTGCGCGGGGCTTCTTGGACAGTGTTTGACCAGGCCCAGGGACAGACAGGCACCTCTCTCCCCGTCCTGTCAGGTGGAGTGGATGCTGGCATTGAGCGTCCTGATGCCGCTCCATCTAGTTCTAATGACCGCTTCTTTTAAACTGGAAATTCCCCAAGATAACCAAGCCCTGCAGTCCAGGGGCCGGGGCAGTAAAGGGCCTGGTGGTCACACCTCCGTGGTCACAGACAGCATTTCCCATGGATGGTGTGCACAGTAGAGCTTTTATCAGTCTCTCACACGGCGTGCTTGTGCTGCCCTCTCCCCAGGGGCCCGGGGTCAGTGGGAGTACCTGCCGAGCTCAGCCACTTCACTGTAGAAGGAGTCGAAGTTGTCCTTCCAGGTCACCATGATCCCATCACTCCCTGGACCTGCAACGAGGTCGGTGCTTGCTTTGAGCACGGGGGTTCTGAGCGGGGTGGGCTGAACTGAGCCTGCAGTGTCACCCTGACTCCTACACAGAGCCACCCTAGGGGACCCTACAGGGTTCTGAGCTCGTGGGTGAGCCAGACCACGTCCACAGCCATCAGGCCGATTATAGCTCCTAGTGACACTAGAGGACCCGATAGGACCCCAAGCTCAGCTTTCTGCAGGCTCGTGTGGGTCAGCACGGCGACCATAGGTGGCCAGTTGGGCATTTGAAGTGTGCTGGTCTGAAGGAGGATGGGACGGTATGCTTCCAGTACCCACAGCACGCAAGGCAGTTCCGTAGCTATCTCGATGGGAGGTGGTGGGGACAATGGGGTGTGTGCCCTGGTGGCACCATGGTTCAGTGCTCAGCTGCCAAGCAAAATGTTGGTGGTTTGAACCCTCCCGCTGTGGCGCAGTGTGAGAAGCCCTGGTGATCTGTTTCTGTGAAGGTGACGCCAGGGAGCCCCTGGCACGGGACAGAGACCCAAACCACCAGAGAGAGTGAAGGCGGAGAGAGAGTGAAGGCGGTCAGAGTAACAGGCACGCCTGGGAAGAACCAAGCAGCACCAGATTTAAGAACGATTTCGTAAGGTGCTCGCTGGATGATGAAATCAAAGTACTTTGGCCCGATGGGGAGAGAGTAATCTATGAAATACATTTTCCCCCCTTCAGTGTGGCTACTGGCTCAATTCCACCACAACAGACGTGGCCTTGTCTTGCCTTTCCATTGGCCAGACGGGCGAGCCGTGTCCCTCACAGAAACAAGGTTCACTGGGTGGGAGGCGTCATAGATGGGAAACATGGAGAGGATGTTGGTAGACAGTGTTGGTGTCATCCAGCCACTTGTGGGCCATGGATGGTGGGGAGTGGGGGGAGCGGACTTTCCAAAGTCCTAAGGAGAACCCCATTCTATCCAGATCCCCCTCTTCCGTGAACACCTTGAAGCCACAGGAAGTACCTGTGGCTCAGATTACTACCAGCTCTGTGTGGCCACTGGAAGCCCCCACCAGGAGAGCAGCTTCCCTGCCCCAGGCAGAGACGGACGGATGGACAGATGGACGGATGGAGGCCTGACCCTTTGAGCTCCTTGAACAGCTGAGAGGCAGCAAGGCTGGGTGGGAGCAGACCCCCAAGCTCTGGCAGCTGGTGGGAGAGGACCACGTCCACACAGAAGGCAAAGGAGACACTGTCAGGTGGCTGAGCCGGATGCACGGAAACAGCAAATCCCAAGGGCTTCTCAGAGAGGGCGCTCTGAGGATGGCTGGTCATCAGGAAAGGGCAGACTGAGTGGTCGTAAGGGAAGTGCTGTCCTTCCAAAGAGCACTGGGGTGGCAGGTCCGGGCGGGCTGAGAACAGACCTGGCCTTCCTCTCATCGCCTCCCCCCTTGGGTCTCCTCTCTCTAGACACCTCTCTACTGACCAAAGGGGAAGGGGCACCTGCGTCGGACTCGTCCTAGCGCTCTGAAAGCAGGACACCAGTGGCTCGGTCACCCCAGGGTCCCAGTTTTCCTGGGAAAAGGCTTCAGCCAGGTTGCATGGTGCAGGTATGATTCCTGAGGTGGATGCTGCTTCCTGTGGGCCAGGCATCCATTCACCTGTCAGTTTGGGTTGAGGAGCACCCTTTGGACAGCCGTGTCCCAGGCCTGGGTGTCTCTGGACGTGGCACCCTTCATCGCCTCGTGGGACTTCTCTGAGGGGCGGTGAGAACCAGCTGGGAAGCGCTGTCTACTGAGGGCCTATGAACGTCAGACAGAGCTGTAGGGGTCGGGGTCAAGAGGTCTAAGAGGTAAGATCCTGGTGGCACTGTGGGCGAAGACTAGGGCTGCGGACTGCCAGGCTGGTAGTTCAAAACCACCGGCTGTCTGCCTTGGGCACCCTCCAGGAATGGTCTACCCTGCCCTGCAGGGTTGCTCAGACATCACTGCATGTGGGTTAGTATTTCCTGGGCTCAGACCTGAGTGTGGCCTCCGGTGGCTCATGGCTGAACTGAGGAGAGATGGAGCACTCAGAGCAGAGCCAGAATGGAGGACGGGACCCCCCTCTGGGCAGGGTAGCTGTGAGGAGCCAGCACGCGGGTTCAGAGTCAGGGGCAGGTGGGTGCTCCCCTGCCCCTTCCTTCTGATTTCAGTTCTGACCGAGACCACCTTCCGCCAGCCTCTCTGGGAGGAAGCGCGCCACCGGGGGGTATGCCTGTAGTGCCCTCTGACAGCGAGAGCAGAGCTGGCCAGCAGTGCCCACGCCAAGTGGGAGGCCAAAGGCCTTCCCTGCCCACTGCCGCCCCTCCCTCTCCCCACTTGCAGGCCCTGGGAGACCCTGGTGACTGTGGTTGGGACGTGCAGCTCTCTCCTGACTCACTGCTGGCCCCGGGGCCACGTCCACATCAGGGGAAGGGCCTGTAGCCCCAGGGGGTCCATAGCCCCCCGGAGACTGGAGCTCGGATGGGGCAGCTCACCTAGAACCCGCAGGCTGGCCGACGATGAGGCCGTGCCCATGTCGTTCACCGCAATGCATGTGTAGAGGCCGTCGTCCTCCGTGGTCGCGCCGACAATCTTCAGAGCGGCCTCCCCTAAATCACTGCCACACAGGATCCTGGGCATCAGGGAAGGTCCCTCTCACCAGTGCACCGCCGCCCACACCCCAGGACACCCTCCTTCGGGGCCACAAGGAGCTAAGAGCCAAGCGCTGAGAACGGTGTGCAGGACCATGACTCTGGACACCCAGAAGGGACTGTGCGGCTCACAGTGAGTGCTGATGGCCGGCAACAGACACGGCAAGGGGGCGCCACTCGGCTGCAGGGCCACGCTGCCTGCCCCTCAGCCGGCGGCTCACCTGTAGGAGATGCTGTAGTGGCCGTCGTTGTTCAAGGTGTTGTGTTCAGGGCCCTTCCAGGTGACGGACGCCTTGGGACGGCCACAAACGCGACATCTGAGAACAACGGTCTCCCCTGTCTCGCACGTGACCTCGCTCAATGGAACGACAAACTCGGGGGGAACTGCAGGGTGGGGAGGAGGGGCAGGTCAACGCTAGGAGCCCTGCATGCTCTCCCGCTCCTACCGACGCTGCCCCAACAAACCAGAAGACCCAGGCCGCCGCCCAGGCCCAGAGGGCCACAGAAAAGCACGCAGAGACCACGCGTGAGCCTGGGACACCCACTCTGCAGGCCTCTAGCCCCCGGAACAAGAAGGAGAAAAACACAGGGCTCACCATCATAAATGTAGTTGGGATTGAGGAGCTGAAAGGGAAAAGCAAACAGGGATCAACCAAAACTGAGAATGCCTTTGAGGGGTATTACTTTCAATCCAGAGCTATAACTCCTGTTGAGATGAGGGGAGATAGAAAAGAAACTGGACCTGTCCGGTTTCTTACGAAACAGACCGCCTTTGCCTTCCGTCTTTAAATGCACGTGAAAGCATCAAGCCCCCGCCGCCCCACCCTGCCTCTTAATTTGGGTGAGTTTTTCCTTCCTCTGCCCTCTCCCACTCCAAGACTGCTGAGTGAGGGGGTCTGCTTCCTCCCCAGGGCTGGTCCGCTGCTGCCACCCTCCTATGGGCACCGCAGGCTTGCCCAGGTCTGGTGAAGGGCTCCAGGTGAGACCCCCACAGGCGTGAGGCACTCTGACTACAGAGCAGCCCTGTGGCTCCATGCTTAACGTGCTCGGCTGCCAACGAGCCCACCAGCTGCTCCAGAGACAAGATCTACGATCAGGATGGCGCTGAGAACTGGACCCCGAGATCTACGATCAGGATGGCGCTGAGAACTGGACCCCGGCCCGTTCTATTCCCTCCACAGAGCAGCTTTGGGGGGAAGTCCACAAAGACAGTCAGCGTGTCCACAATGTGGGCCACTCACTCCCCCCACCGCAGCTGAAACATCAGTGTCCTCTGAGAACCAGGTCTCTCTGCCTCAGCTAGACACCACACGCTCTCCTTGGTAGGGTGCCTGCGCCTCTGGGGAGGTGTGGGTGTGGGCACCTGGTTCCCCCAAATCCAGTGTCCTCGGCACTGGACTGGCCGGGCAAGGTGGGGCGTGTCTCCGTGGGAGGGGCTGCCCCACCCCTACCCGGCCACTCACCTTCACAGACACCTTGTTGCTGAGCCCTTCCCGTGGTTTCCGGTAACCGTTCTCTAACTTGCCGTCTCTTTTGCCGTCTTTGTCTTTCCTCTCGGGTTTTTTCCTTAAACGGAGTGCCGTGTGCCAAGATGTTGACTTCCTGGTTGGGGGTGGGGGGCAGGAAGGGGAGAACGGCAGCCATCAGGGTGGCTTTCTGTGCTCAGGGCAGGACACAGAAAGCATCCGCAGAGAGCCGAACATGAGACTTCTGGGGCCCAGCCGGGCATCCGAGGCTCAGTGGTGGGGCTGAGCCCACACCAACCCAGAGCCCGAGAAAGCACGGCTTGGCTTCCCTCTCCCCAAGCAGGTTCTACTGTTGGCACCCAAACTCAACTTCCTTTAAACGGCTTCAGGCAGCAAGCTGCTTCAAGGTTTCAAAGTGATTCAACTGACTCGCCTTCCCCTGCGGAGGGGCGGGCTGGGGGCTCCACCCTCCTCTTACCGGTGACAGGTCACACTCCCTGGCAGACCCCAGCTGCAGGTTGGGGTCTGCACCTTACAACCCACCAAGACCTCCAGTTACTAAGTGACTGCCATGCCCACTTTGTGACCCGCCAAGTCAAGTGTCCCTAAATGTGGGTTACTGAAAGAACCTGCCAGAAAGTGGCTGGTCAACGGGGAGGACACCCCTCCTTCCTTTGGGGGCGGACACATTCTGACTGGAGGTGAATCTGCTCTAGTTAGAGGTCCTCCTGGGGCCTCCCGCCTCTCGGCAACAGCAGCCCCAGTGACGACGACGGAGCCTGCTTCGGTAAGACTGATGATGGCCTCTGCAATGTGGTGGGGTGCTCCGCATATCGCCTGGAGGCCCCACCCCCCAACCTCAGAGGGCAGCCACCCACTCACTTGAGGGTCCCATCGGGGTTCTCCAGGACGACAGCACTGGTGTGCCCCAGGACAAAGCCCGGAATCCAGCCCTCAGCGGCGGGGCACTGGTCGGTGGCGGCTCGGAACACCAAGAACATGTTCTGTTGGTTGCTGGCTAGAATTTGAACGACCTCTCCTTGATAGACGTTGATCTCATCCTCCTTCACTGCCGTGTAATCGTGTGTCACCAACATGGTGGAGATATTGCTGCTGCTGCTGCTGCTTTCACTCTGCAGGGCGGGGAGGGGACAGGAAGGCTCGTGTGAAGGGCAGGCTGGTGACCCGCTCTCCCTGGTCGGTGGCCGCCGGATCCCCGTGGGTGGGGGCGTGGCGTCTAGTGGTTTCGTCGCACACCCGTCTTGCTCATGTGGCCTGCCTGTTTTTTGTTTTTTTTCCTTTTCGACAACTCAAACAAATCGGGACTTCTCTGGAACAGTTTGGAGAGGAACAAAGAAGTTCTTTCCCGGGAGCCTGGTTGCCGTCATGCCCTGGGCCTCCTCCCACCCTCACAGCAACGGCTTGATGCCTGGAGCTGCCGCCACCTCGCTGTCCTCAACCGAGGCCAGCAATGTGAAAATGCACTCACGTTCGCCCACTCCATCTAAAGACCACAGGGAACGATCCACAGACAGAGCACACAGTCGGCGGACAAGGAAGCACCCCCACCCTCTGCTGGACAGCAGGTTCATCAAGAAGGTAGGTTCTAGAAGCATGCTGGTGGCTGGGCGTGCCTGTGCGTCACTCAGGTTTCCCTTTCGCTCAGGGTGCCTGCAGAGGCTGCACGGGTCCCTCCTAGGAGCATGGGTGAGCTGAGGTCCTGGGGTACGGCTGCCACGGAGGTATAAGGCACATCCTCTCAGGTGTGGGACTGGACTTCGATGGGAGATGTAGCCCCAGCCCATCCTGCGGCCCACTTTGGATCACTACCTTAGCACTGGCATCTATTCCAGCAACCGGCCCAATGAATGCCCCCCATGGGGAGAGGGTGCCCAAGCCTTACAGTGATGGCTTCTTAGAGCTGCAAGCTGGGTCAGGGAGTGGTGGGACAGGAGCCAGCAACATGGGTGCCAGCCTTGCTCCAGCGATCAAGACATCTTTTAGGGGAGAAGGTGGAACAGAGGCCCTCCCTAAGACCGAGTTGCCCTGGGCCATCAGCTGGGACGAGGAGCACACTACCTAGTGTCCAGCCCAACCAGCCTAGGAGGCCCAGAGGCCGCCTGCCAGGTAACTTGCCAAGTTCTCGGACAGCTCATGCTAGGGTCATGTGGGACGGGGCGTGAAGCAGTCCACACATGAGGAGACCCTGTCTCTTCCAGGCAGCAGAGCGGAGGATGACCACAGCCACCTACCGCTCCAAGGTGGACAGCAACCAGGGTCATTTAAAAGGAGCAGGACCTACATACAGCTCCTTTCTGGTCCTTGCTAGTGTTGGGTAGCTCACCCTGTCCCCTGGGGACTCCCTGGAGCAGAGGCCCTGTGCGTGAATTTAGACAACTGTGGGTGCTTTTAGCATGTGCTTTAGAGGATCCCTGGTGGCACAGTGGTTACTCACTGGTCTGCGATCCGCAGGGTTGGCAGTTGGAAACCACCAGCAGCTCCATGGGAGAAAGACTGGGCTTTCTACTCCTGTGAACAGTTACAGCCTTAGAAATTCCCAGGGGGCTTGCTATGAGTCAGCATTGTCCTGACGGCATTGAGTTAGCATGCAAACTCCTAGCGACCCTCTAGGACGGGGTACTACTGCCCCTGTGCGTTCTGAGACTGTAGCTCTTTATAGGAGTACAAAGTCTCCTATCTTTCTCCCACAGAGCGGCTGATGGTTTTGAGCTGCCAGCTTTGGGGTTAGCAGTGCAACGCATAATCCACTACACGAGAGTTGGAATTGACTCAATCGCAGTAGTCTGGGTGTCACACCCAGACTTAGATGGGGATGTCCAGTGCTCTTGAGATTACAAAGACAAACTTGTCAAAATAGTGAAACAACTTTCTGAGGTAGAACTGCTTTGGGAAATCGACTGCCCTGGGCCGCATGGCATTGTGGGAGCACTGTGCCACACAGTCTGGTGCTGGCAGGTATAGTGAGCTCTGAAAGGCCACCTTGGGTTCTCCTCACAGCCATCACCTGGCCTGTGGGAATGGACCTCACAGTGGTGGGTGGTGGTGGTGGGGGGAAGGGAGGTGTTAGTCAATCTGCCCAGAGCCTCCTGGTTTCTGGGACAGTCAGGGTTGTGAGGGACTGGCCAGTTGCACGGTCACAGAGACCAGGCCCTGGAGCTGCAGGCCTGCCGGCTTACACACCATTCAGGGAGCTGCAAGCCTGATGCGAGTTGCTCTCTGCAAAAGCTCCCGCCAACGCTGTGTGAGGGGACAAGGACCAGGGCTGTGGGATGGGAGTGGTGGTGTGGCCTGGCCAGGGCTGTGACAAAGGCTACCTCTGCTACCATGGCCCCCGGGGGCATTCTGGTCCAAACAGGGGACAGGGGACGAGGAAGACCATTCCTTGTAAGGAAACACTGTTCCCAGAGAGCAGTTTGAGCCTCACTCTAGACCTCTAGCACCTTCCCACCTGGGGCATTTCCATAGTTTCGTGACTCTCCTATGTAGTAATGGTAGTGAGGTTTGAGTTTGAGAATAATGGTGGGAGTGCCTGAGGGTGGGTGCCAAGGGTCATGGTGATCAGCTGGTAACTGAGAAGTTGGGGGTTTGCGTCCACCCAGAGGCACCTCAGAATTAAGTCCTGAGCACTGAAATCTGACCCACTGGCCATTAAGCACCCTATGGGAGTTCTATTCCACCACACACAAGGTTTGTCGCCGGGAGTCAAAATCAACTCCACCACAGCTGGCTTTGCCAGTTAAGCACCGTGGGGAATCGGGGCTGCCTGCCATGCCTGAAAAAGTGGAAGATGGACGTAACTATCAGGCAAGTCTCCAGAGAAAGTGCGGGAAGGAACGGGTACTGGCTAGTGTGCCTCTCTCTCAGAGGCAGCCACTCACTGGCAGCAGCTAAGGTGCTAATTCTGAAGCGCATTTTCTGAGAATGCCTACCTTGCTGGACGGGGTGTGTCCCTGGGGGTTCAGCAGAGGGTGCTCGGCCAGTGTCATGGGGCCACCACAGACTCCCTCCATGCCCGAAGGTGCTAAAAGCTTGGGTGTCCCCCAAAGCCACAGACACCTCTTCACCAGGCTGAACCCTGGGCACAGGCAGGCCTGCATCTGGCCCCTAGCACTGCACCTCTGTCTAGATTCTAGAGCAGTGGTTTTCAACCTTCCTAATGCTGTGACCCATTAATATAGTTCCTCATGTTGTGGTGATTCCCCAACCATAAATTTATTTTCGTTGCTACTTCATCACTGTCATTTTGCCACTGGTATGAATCGGGCGGCCCCCGTGAAAGGGTCATTCAACCCCCAAAGGAGTCGCAACCCACAGGTTGTGAACCGCTGCTCTAGAGAGTAGTAACAGGGGCTGCAGGGACGGCCAACGCAGGGAGGCTGGGGCCATCTTTGCAGATGAGACTCCAGTATAAATCAAAGTACCAAGACTGGTTAACCTGAACACCGGAGTTATCAAGATACCTGAAGAAGTAGGAGGAGAGGCAAAACCAAGCCAACCCAGCAAAGCTTTATCTCAAGAGTCCCAGAGAAAGGGATATACGTGCAACAGCCAGCTTTGTTTTTATAAAGAGAGACACAGACCCTTTTCGGGAAATGTATTAAAAATTTATAAAGAGCTCAAACACACACTCCTTCGAAGGGCTCGCTTCACTCCTGCGCGCTTTCAGAGCGCCAGGACAGTTGGGGAGCAGCGTGAGCAAGCCACGCTGGCGGCCAGCACTCCTCGGGCTGCCCACCACCACGGAAGCCACTGGCTGGGGGCTCCCCTGTCCAGAGCCCCGAGGGGCGGCCACGCCCACTGCCCTGCGCCCTCGGCGGGTGGGCGCAGCTCAGCCCTTGTGCACCGGAGCCCCTCCAAGTCTGTCTCTGGCAGAGGCCCCCCCGGGCTGGAGAACTCTCCCCACCGGGCAGCTTCCTGCCCCCGCCCCCCGTGTCAGCTCAGAGGTGCCGCTGGGCTGGAAGTCTCCAGGAGGGAATTGCTTTAGGCAGAGGAGTCAGAGCGCCCAAGACGACGTGGAAGGCCGGAAAGAGGTGGCGCCCAGGAGGAGGAGCGCGCAGAGAGGAAGGAGCAGAGCCCGGTGCAGCGGGGCGGGCGGGGACAGCGGCCAGGAGGAGGAGGAGGAGGAGGTCCCGGAGGTGGCGCTGCAGGTGGGACAGACGCTCGGAAGGTTAGAGACGCTTTCTCTCGTTAGGAGACACACACAAAGCAAGGAGAGCGTTAGTGGGAGGCGGCAGGGCCCGGCGGGGCGTGCAGTGGCGCCGTGCCTTCACGTGACCAGGCCCCGGCGGCGGAGAGTCCAGTTGGCTGCGCGGCCGGAGCAGGAGTTAGTAGAGCGAGGACTGACGGACCGACGGACGAACGGTTTAGAAGCGGCGGCGGGCCGGGCCGCGCGGGGGCGTGCCTGGCGGCGGCGGGCTTACCCCGTTGCTCTGGGTGGACTGCACGGACTGCTCGCTGGCCGAGGAGCACGTGCTCATGCGGTCCGTGTCCTTGCTGGGGGCCGCGTGGCGCTGCGCCTGCCGCTGCAGGGAGTCGCTGTCCCCCGGGAAGGTGAAGGAGCCGGGCCGGCTGGCTGGGGAGGCGGGGGTGGCGCTCCAGAAGGAGCCCCCTTTCTGCAGGGGGCTGCTGGGGGGGAAGGGCTCCTTGCCCAGCGGGGAGGGGAACGTGGTGGCCAGCGGCGAGTTCAGGGGCGAGGTGGCTCCCGGCCGGGGCTTGGTCAGGGGCAGGGCGCCCAGGCTGGCCCTCGGGCGTCCGTCCTCCGCTGGCCCCCGCGCCTCTTTGGCCAACCCGTTGGTGGACTTCCGTGGGCTCTCCATCGTCTTCATCTTGGGCACTGGCTCGGCGTCTCGGTCGGGACCCTCGCGCTCTCCACTGGGCGGGGGCCTGCTGGGCGGGCCAGGGGCCGCCTCCGGGAGGGACGTACCTGACATCTTGTCTGCCTCCGCCTGGCTCGAGGCGGCTGAGGAGACCAGCACGGGGGAGTGGTGTCGGACAGGCTGCGGGATCCTGGAGGGCCGCCCTCGGCTCGAGCTGGGCATCGCGCCACAGCCCCCGCTGCCAGGGCCACCTCCGTGGTTGCTGCTCCCGCTGCTGCCGCCCGGACCCCCGCCGCCGCCGCCTCCGCCGCTCCCTCCGCTACCCCCGCCGCTGCCCCCGCTGTGGTTCCTCTGGTACTCGATGGGTGACGTCAAGGCTGCAAGAGAGCAAGAAAGGCCGAAAAGGTCAAGATATGCGAGGAAAGTGACCGCCATCCTCGGGGCTGGAACGCCCACGATGGCAGTGCTGTCAGCTGGGTGCATCCCAAGGCACCAGCACCCACGGTAGGTTGCCTGTGTTGTGAGGGGCAGGAGGCAGCCAGAGGGGCACAGCGAATGGGGACAAGGTTCCCGAGACTTGGATTCCCCCCAGGGTAGGTGGGCCTACCTCCTGCATCCCTATAAAATTCCAAACCACTTTCTCCTTGGCTGAGATGGCACCATCCCCTGGAGCCGCAAAAGCAATGCCTACACTTGATCCTTGATTATGGGCTAGAGTACAAAGGTTTTTAGTTGCTAAGGGGGGACAGGGTAATTTTATTTATTTTTTCCTTCTGAAAAGAAAGTGGTAGGCCAAATAAGTTTGAGAACCTACGGTCTAAACCAGGGATTCCCCGGAAATCATCAATACCAGGTAACCTCGCTCTCCTCACCATCAATACCAGTTAACCTCACTCACCTCACCACCAATTCCACCTCACTGTCAATACCCGCTAACCTCGTTCCAGCCATCACATTAGGGGTGAATGAATGAAGTGTTTGACCAAATATGCCTAGTTAATTTTAAAACTTTTATATGGTCTGCAAATGATATTATAAAAATCCAAATGGCCCTTGGCAGAATAAAGGCAACCGCGCCTCCCCGCCTCTCCCGGTGTAAAAAGACATCAGCAGGGATGGCCCAGCCAGCACCTGCGGGCACTGCCAGGACAAAAGGTGGAAAGATCCAGTCTGGGAAGGACTTTGAACTGGAAGTGCCTGAGGCCACCAAGACTGAGCTGGACAGGCCTCTGGATTTATGACTGCTTCTGCTGGAGGGATGCAACAAAGGCGGCAAGGTAGATAAAGACAAGGACCCTTTGGGGTGGTGAAGTGCTCACACTCACGTGCAGCCTCGTCACCTGCAGGAAAACATGGGGAAATGTGTGAAGTTACTTATACGGCAAAGGTGAATGCCCATTCACGAGGGCTTAAGATGTTGGAGGAATGGGAGGCCTGGGTCTGCGTGTGACAGTATCCCGGGGTCCCTGGCACGTCTCACACACACACTGAGCTCTTTCATCCTGCTCAACAGCTATGTCCCACTTTTCAGAAGTATGTTTTCACGAAAGACCTACCTCCCTGTCTTTGCAAATTAAAGATGAATTTCACTTTACACAAATGTGGGAATCTGAATTAGGGGAACCAGCACTCAGCCATTAACAGAGGCAACATGCACCCTGCATAGAAAAAGTAGCAACCCTAGCTCTTTCTCCGGGAACGACAAGGTACAAGGATTAGCGAGAAAGTTCATGGAAGAATTCCAATTCCATTTTTCTATGAACTTTTGGAAGCCCCTAGTATAGGCAGTATTTGTACCGTATCACTACTGCTTTTACTGTGCTAGGGCTACTTATTGTATGTTGGATGTGCTAGTTGGTAGGTTATTTTTAGGTCTGGGAATATTGGAAGCTTTTCCCCATATAAATTACTGGTACTGGTTTCTTCTATGCAGAAGAATGTGGCAACAGGATCAGAGGGAGACTTGCCAACAACCTACGATATGCAGATGAGCAAATTTGGCTTGCTCAAAGTGAGGAGGACTTGGAGTATTTGCTGACGAAACTAAGGAATGTAGCCTTCAGTATGAATCACAACTTAATATAAAGAAAACCCAACTCCTCACAACTGGAACACTAGGTAACAATAAGTGGAAAAATAGATCGAAGTTGTCAAACATTTAATCTTGCTTGAATCCACAATCAATACTCCTGGCGGCAGCAGTCAAGAAATTAAGCGATGCACTGCACAGGGTAAATCTGCTGCCCAAGATCTCTGTAAAGTGTCGAAGAGCAAGGATGTCACTTTGAGGCTGAGGACACACCCGGTGCAAACCAGGGTGTTTTCCATTGCTCGTATGCATGTGAAAGTTGGACAATGAACAGGGACGAGTGGAGGAGAATTGATGCATTTGAATTACGGTGCTGGTGCAGAATGTTGAACGTTCCATGGACTGCCAAAAGCACAAACATCTGTCTTGGAAGACGTGCAGCCAGAATGCTGCTTACAGGCAAGGATGGCGAGACTCTGTATTGCACTTTGGACATGTTATCAGGAGGGACCAGTTCCTGGAGAAGGACATCATGCTTGGTCAAGTAGAGGGGCATGGGAAAAGATGAAGAGCCCAGATGAGATGGATTGAAACACTGACTACACAGTGAGGTCAAACATAACAATTGGGAGGATGGCACAGACATGGGCAGTGTTTCGTTCTGTTGTGCCTGAGGTCACCATGAGCAGGAAGAGACTCATGGCATCTAACAACAACAACAACATCAACGATAGTTCGTTTGATTTACATCGTTGTGGCTCGTGAAAGTTTTCAGTAGAACATTCTATTTTGGATAGTAGGGGGAAGCTGCATGCTTCCACATCCTGGCTGAATCAAATTTGCATAATTTGGTGTTAGTTCACTCTTTATTTTGAAAGAAAATGTTATATTTCCCAGTAGTCAAAAAGTTGAGAAACATTTCCCAATTTTCCCAGAGTTCCATGTTTGGGCAGGAGACTGGGTGGTGCATGAGGTTTGCGGTCACTGCCAACTGACAGGCTGGTGGGTTTGAACCCAGCTAGCAGCTCCGTGAAAGGAAGCCCTGGAGACCTGCTTCCATCGACCTGATGGCCAAGGAAGCCCTATGGGGCAGGGGTGACTCTGAGACACGGGGGCCGCTATGTGCCAGGAGCTGACTTGGGGGCAGCTAACAGCAATAACAATATGTGGTAGAGTGTTAACAAACCCAGGGACAAGGGAACAAGTGATCCAAATTGGTGGTTAGGAGGGTGTAGGAGGCCTGGTAGGGCATGACCAAGGGTAAAGTAACCAAGAGGAATTACTGAAACCCTAATGAAGGCTGAACATGATAGTGGGACAAGAAGAAAGTGAAAGGAAATAGAGGAAAGAGCTAGGAGGTAAAGGGCATTTATAGAAGTCTAAATAAAGCCATGTACATATGTGAATATATTTATATATGAGGATGTGGAAATAGATCTAAGTACATATATGTATAAATTTAGTATTAAGGTAGCACATGGACACTGGGCCTCCACTCAAGGACTCCCTCAATGCAAGACACTTTGTTCTGTTAAACTGGCATTCCATGATGCTCACCTTCCCGACATGATTGCTGAAGACAAAGTG